ATGTTAAATAACCCTTAAAATGTTTTTTAATTTATTTCTGATCAAAAGACCAATTTACCCTTCAATCCTTCAATCTTTGATAACAAGTCTTAAACAATAATTCCCAAAATTATTTCTTGAACTTTTTAGTTTATCAAAAGGTAACCACTAACTTTTAAATCCTTACACTTTAGACACTGACTAGATGTTTAGGGTATTACAATTCTCCCCTTAATAAAATTTGTCTTCGAATTTTCACTATACAAAAAGACGAGGAACTTTTCTCTTTACATCCTTTACACGCTTCCACGCCACCTCTTCCTATACTATTTATTCTTCATAGTCAATTAAATTGAACTTTTATTTCTTTCGGTGCTATGATGAGAAAAAATATCGGATCGATATCTCTTAGCATCGAAGCGTGAAAGACATTTGTGAATCTTTTCCATTCTGGTGGGAATACTCGCTGATAGGCTACTGGTCCAACTCCTTTAAAATCTCATAAGATCCAATGAATCTTAGAGTGATCTTTCTATTCTATACAAAATAAATAATCTTCTTCCAAGGCAAGACTTTGAGAAACACTTTATCACTTACTTAGAATTCAATTTCCATTATCTTCAAATCCGTATAGGACTTTTGTTGATCAACAACTATATTAAAATTATCTTAAATAATCTTCACTTTTTTTCTTCAACTTCTTTGATCAAATTTGGCTTCACTAAGTCTCGATCTTTCAATTTGAACCTACTTAATGGTGTCTTATATTTTATTATAAGCAAAACTTCACTTACATCTATCTTGATAAATTTCTTAAACTTGCTGACATACCAATCACTTAAAAACAACTCGATGATAACTTTTTCCATGGCATATAAACATTCATCAGACTTTAGTTCTCCTTTTTCTTACTTATTATGTACTTAACAAGTATGAAAATTTCATATTTATCTTAAAATACTTAAATCGATCCAACATCAAAGGCTTTAATTTAATTATACAATCAAAACATTATCTATCTTAAAAAGAATTCGTATTCAGAACCCTTAAAATGAAAGTGTCTCTTGACCCTATCGTATTAGTATCGTACAAACCTTTCATGATTATAGTTGATAAAAATGCCCTCATTCTTTAAAAATTTAAATACATTTCCTGTCTTTACACTCCTTCGATTCAACACATATATTTAACTTTTGAGATCCTTATAAATATAACATCATTTACCTAGAAGTTAGTAGTTTCCTATCAATAAAGTATATCCCATTAATGCTAACTGGATATTGTGAATAGGTTGATTTCTTTCATACTTCTGTAGTAGCTTAAAATGTAATACCTCAAACATCGGGATAGTGACTAAAATGTAAGAATTTAGTATTTGGTGGTTTAATTTTATTAAATTGGAAAGTTTAAGGACTAATTTTGGAAATTTTATTTAGGAATTGATATCAAAGATGGAAGAGTAGAAGGGCATTATGGTCTTTTAGTATGTTATGAATTTAAAAATTATTTTCTTAAAAGATAATTAAGCATATGATGAAAAATAAATGGGAAAGAATTGTTTGGAAGCTTGACTCACTTTTCTTCTTCTTCTTCTCTTCTTGCGACTCCATTGATAAGGTGAGTTTGTCACAATTTGGTTATTATTTTCAGTTGTGGGTTGGTTTTGAAGCATTGGGTAGTATAGAAGATTGAAGAAACTTTAATATGAATAGAAACTAAGAGATTAGTGAATTATTAATAAATTAGTAAAATGGGGTTTTAAGGGATTTGATGTTATGGTTTAGTATTTGGATTTCTAATGATAAATTTGACTTTTCATATGTCTAATTAAGAAGTTAGAAGTATTAGAAAGGATTAAAATCATGTTTGAATATTTGGTATGATTATTAGGTTTAAGTGTTATAAGGAGAAAGTTAGGTATTATAAGGTGAATTATGGTGGTAAGTTAGTTGGGGTAAGCGATAATAAGTTTAAGGGTATGAATGGGGGAAAAAGCTTAAGATTTAGGTAAAGAGTGGGAAAATTTTAAAGTGAAAATAAGTAAAATCTTGGTTTGGGTATTGGTACTGAAAGAATAATATCGATACTATAGGGTTAAATTAAAAGAAATGATTTGAATCGGATGAACAATATCAATATTGATTGAAGTAGTATCCATCCTGAAGTGTGTATTGATACCAAAGGTAAGGTGTCGATACTGTAAGTAGAGATGAAATTCTAGAATGATAAAATGGTATAGATGCCGAAGTGGGTATCAGTACCCCAAAAGAGAAGTATCAGTACTGTATGAAGGGTACCAATACTATCCAGTCTGAAATGTTGAATTAGGTGTTTCATTTTGTTTTTGTAAGTGCAAATTGGTTATTTATTAATGGAAAGTTAGTATTGATCTTAGACATATTATTGTATAGATTGGGAACAACATCGTACTGATCGAATCGATATAGCAAAGATTCAGAAGAAATTTAAAAAGGATTTTGTTTAGGAATTATGTGAGGCACACGTGAGTGCAACTCTTTTGTTTTATATTACCTTTGAGGGTGGCTTGCGATAAACCAACCTTAGAGTTTTTGATCGAAAACCATTTTATTTATTTTATGTAATATTTTTATAATGCTCTATTCAAGTTATATTTCTAAAGCTATGTTTTGATTGTTATATGTACATGAATGTGAACATGCGATATTTGAATATGCTTATACAAAAATGGTCTATGTGAAAGTACCCTATGAGAATGTACTTTATAAGAATAAGACATACTTTAAATAATGAAATGATAAATAATTATGTGGTTAAATCCCAAGGTATATATATGAGAATTAGTGTTATAGTTGGCATGCGAAGAGTTGAGGGTCCTATGTGGTCCTTCGGGACAAACCTATGTGGTCCTTGGGGACAAACCTATGTGGTCCTTCGGGTGAAAACTATATAGCCCTTCGGGACAAATATGTTGCACTTCGGTGTAAATTATATGAGCAGTGGTGACTGCATTAGTGAACAACCTCAATGTACTCAAATATCTAGAGTTCTCAGTAGTATGCATTGGGCTATTAAAGACAAAGTGATATAAACAAAGCAAAGTGTAAAAGTATACATTCTTGTCAGGAAATGTAAATTGAAATTCCTTATGAAACGTTTTCTATGAGATGAACATGAAAATATTTTACAATGTTTTATTATACTCGCAATTGACTCACTAAGTCAACGACTTAGCGTGTGATTTTTTCAGACATAGGTTCGAAGAGATCATAAGGGTAAAGCTAGGAAGGGACAGAATACAAGGAAGGAAGATCAGATCAGAACAATTTAATCTGAAGGTTTTTGAATTATGTAATTTGTTGGCATGTATTAAAATGATTTAAATTAAAATGCTCTGATCCATTTTGTAATCATACTATTTTATAGTTATGTAAATTATTAAGTACTTACTTTCAATGTGAGTTTGAATTTTAATAGCAATTTGATTTAAGGGTTTCACCACCTGAAAATAAAAAAAGTTAAAATTTTCAATAAGTTTTCAACAAGTAAAAGTTTTGAAAAGTCAATGTGATGCCTCAGATTCGTATCCAGGTCGGGTACGAGTTAGAGGTGTTACATTTATTAGTATCAGAGCTATGGTTTAACTAATTTTAAGTTCGAAATGAAGAAGTTTTTTTAAAAGTGTACATGCCAACTAAAAGTTAAAATCTCTGATCTGATAAGGTAATTAGTATGTCGTCTTTACTAATAGAATAGTGATGTTATCTTAATAGATGTCGAATGAAGAGGGTTCTCGAAGTGAAATGAGGGATGCTCATGAGGGTAATAGTAATTCACTTCCCCAAGTAGACAAGCTAAAGAACAAATGCTTCAAGGAGTGACTGTACAAGATCAAGGGCCTTTTTTCGGATGTTGGACGCGATTCTGACGCATTTCTAACCATCTTCTCCCTTAGCTCCTATGATGATTTTAGGAGCACCTAAATTTAGGGGAGAATCTGAGGAATGTCGTGTTTTTGCGGACCATTGGTTAAATGATGTGAAGATAATGTTAGACGACCTCCATTGTTTAAAAATTAAGAAATTGAGTGTAGTAATCTCCTTGTTATGAGGACAAGCACGGATATGGTAGACTAACATGACGGTGAGTGCTACTAGGGACCATGTGACATGGTCATTCTTTCTTGAAGATTTCAAGAACAAGTATATCAGGGATCAGTTCATCATACAAATGAAACAATAATTCATGAATTCGAAGGAAGGGAATCGCACTATGTATGAGTATGAGTTTTAATTTCGTAAGTTGAGAAGATTTGTAATTGAATTGGTCCCAACAAAAAAAAAGAACTCCTGTGATTGGTTTGTAGAGAGTTTACGCCCCAGTTTGAAGGAACTATTGTTAGCGCTAAATCGTTCCACGTGTCAAGAGGTGGTGAATAGAGCTAAAGCCTTAGAGTGAGCTCATAATGAAAGATTTGGGGAACAAAAGACCCAGTGGAACAAGAGAGTAAATATCTCATCAAGTGCATCATAATCAGAGAAAATATGAGGTTCAAGTTTTAGACCTCAGTTTAGATCGGAGTCAACTGTATCCTTAGGTAAAGGATCCAATCCTGGAAGAGCTAGCAGACTCAATCTGTGGAATCGGGTGTGAGAAAGTCAACTCAATGTTAACATTGTGGTAAACAACATACTGTCATATGTCGAAGGGTATCCGGAGCATGCTTTAAGTGTGAAGAGATAGGATATTTCATTCGAGATTACCCATTGATGACTAGGCCGAGGAAAGAATCAGTCTGAGTCGACCACTCAACCTGAAGTGTATTCAACTGTTCGAGTGTACAACCTTAAGACTAGTGATGATCCTGATATCATTGTAGGTACTTTCAAGTTAACTGATAATCCTATTTTAGTTTTGATTGACATGGGATCAACTTCTTATATTAGTAGTAAATTGGTGAGACAATTGAAAATTCAGTTAGAAGCTATAAGTAATTATGTGATCGTAAATAATCCATTAGGGTATAGTGATAGGGTGAATCAGTTGTGTCGAGGGTGTCCCATAAGGATTCAAGGAATTAAATTCCCTACTAATCTTTTGAAGTTATTCTGGGAATAGAGTGGCTATATTGTTATCATGACAATATCGATTGAAGCTAGTAGCTTTGATAAGTCCTGAAGGATTAGAAATAATTGTGATTAGTGAAAGATTTAATCCATTAGCTAGCATGATATCAGTAATATCAACCAAGAAGTTAATGTTACAAGGATGTCTAGCTTTTATCGCCAATGTGATCGATACTAAAGTCAAGGAGAGAGGACTATAGGACATTTCGACGGTCTGGGAATTTTCAGATGTATTTCCAGAAGAATTTTCAGGATTACCTCTTAATATAGAAGTTGATTTTCAAATTGAGGTTATGCCGGGAGCAACATCGATTTCAATGGCTCTTTACCAAATGGCACCGAAGGAACTGAGTGAGCTAAAGGATCAGTTGCAATAGCTATTGGATAAAGGATTTATCAGACCCAATGTATCGCCTTGGGATGTACCAGTATTTTTTGTAAGGAGAAAGATGGTTCGATACGTCTCTACATTGATTATCAACAACTCAATAAGGTGACCATAAAGAATAAGTATCCTCTCCCAAGAATCGATGATTTATTTGATTAACTCATGGAAACTGTGGTGTTTTCCAAAATCGATTTACGCTCTGGTTATGATCAATTAAAGATACAAGAAAAATATGTTCCAAAAATGGTGTTTAGGACTGTGTATGACCATTATGAAATCGTAGTAATGTCATTTGGATTAACTAATGCACCTGCAACATTTATGGACCTAATGAATAGAGTATTCCAACTGTACCTTGATTAGCTTGTGGGCGTCTTCATTGATGACATCTTAGTGTATTCAAAGACAATGGAGGAGCATGATGCCCATCTTCGGTTGATTCTTCAAAACATTAATAGGCAATAAGCTTTATGCTAAGTTTTCTAAGTTCGAGTTTTAGTTAACTGAAGTGGTATTCCTTGGATACGTGGTTTCTACAGAGGGGATTCAGGTAGATCATCAGAAAATAAAAGCTATATTATATTAGGATGTCTCAAGAAATGTTTCTGAAGTACCAAGTTTCTTAGGTTTGGCGGTATATTATCGAAGGTTCATAAAGGATTTTTCAATGATTTCATCCCCTTTGACCAAGCTGTTAAAAAAATATGTGTCTTTCACATGGATGGATAAATGTCAAAAGAGTTTTGAATCTTTAAAGGAAGTTCTTACAGAGTCTTTGATGCTAGTGCAATCTCCGATGCTAGTGCAACCAGAATCAGATAAAGATTATACAATTTAAAGTGACACTTCCCATAATGGGTTGGGATGTGTTTTAATGCAAGAAGGAAAAGTAGTGGCATATGCTTCGAGACATCTTAAGCCATATGAGAAGAATTATTCGACGCACGATCTTGAGTTAACAACAGTGGTGTTTGTATTGAAGATTTGGCGTCACTATTTATTTGGTGAGTGTTGTTATATCTACACAAATCATAAAAGTTTGAAGTATTTGCTAACTCAAAAGAAGCTTAAATTAAGACAAAGAAGATAGATTGAGCTACTTATAGATTATGATGTAATCATAGATTATTACCCTGAGAAAGCAAACGTAGTAGCTGATATACTTAGCCGAAAGACTTTCACAGCTTTACATATGTTAGATGCTCGACTTGTATTAAAGAACAATTATGATTTGATGGCTGAATTGAAATTAAGACCGTTATTGCTGGAATGAATAAAGGAGTCACAAAGGAAGTATGATAAATGTTTAGTAAGGATAGAACAAGTGGACTAAAGTAAAATTAAGAACTTTGAGGTGAAGTTAGATGGAGGGAACAAGATGTATCAATATTTAAAAGGAAGATTTTGGTGGCCAGGAATGAAATGGGCTATTACAGAGTTTGTTTCAAAGTGTCTAACTTGTCAAATAATGAAAGCTGAACATCAAGTTCCTTTAGGACTTTTACAACTGATTTCCATTCCTTAGTGGAAGTTGGAAATAATTTCGATGGATTTTGTAACAGGACTACCTTTGACACCAAATAAGAAATATTCTATTTGGGTAATTATGGATCACTTAACAAAGACTGCGCACTTCATTCCCGATCGAACTAATTGTTGAATGGATAAGTATGTTGATCTATACATCAAGGAGATAGTTCGACTTCAATGAGTACCAGTTTCTATAGTTTCTGATAGAGATCCAAGATTCACTTCGAGGTTTTGGAAGTCTTTACATAAAGCATTGGGTACCCTATTGAACTTTAAAATGACTTTTCACCTTCAGACCAATGATAAATTGGAGCAGACGATCCAGGTTATGGAAGATATCCTGAGAACGTGTGTGATTGATTTCCATGGATCTTAGGAAAAGTATTTACCGCTTGTAGAATTTACGTACAATAACAGTTATCAATCGAGTATTAAAATTACACCATATGAAGAATTGTATGGAAGGAAATGGAGGACACCGCTTAATTAGTATGAATTAAAAGATCGAGATGTTCATGGTCCTTACTTGATTAAAGAAGTAGAAGAAAAGGTTCAGGTGATCCAGCATATCCTTGAAGTGGCATCAGACAGACAAAAGTCCTACTCGGATTTGAAGAGAAAGGAAATTGAAATCCAATTAGGCGACAAAGTTTTCCTCAAAGTATCACCTTGAAAGAAAGTACTCCGTTTTGGACGCAAAGGAAAGCTCAGTCCTAGATTCATTAGACCTTATGAGATCTTAAAAAGAGCTGGAGCAGTGGCATATCAGTTAGAATTGCCACTAAAAATAGAAAATATTCATAATGTATTCCACGTGTCTATGCTCAGGAGATATCGATCAGATCCTTCACAAGTCATAACATTAAAAGAAATAAAAGTCTAACCTAACCTGACCTATGAGGAAAAACCAATGCAGATTTTGGCAAATGAAGTCAAACAACTGAGGAACAATATGATTGCATTGGTTAAAGTTCTCTGGAGAAATCACAAAGTAGAAGAGGCGACATGGGAACATGTAGAGGACATGAAACGAAAATTTCCTTATCTCTTTGTGTAGTGAAAATTCGAGGAAAATTTTTCTAATGGGGGAGAATTGTAATACCCCAAACATCGGGTCAATGACTGAAGTGTAATAATTTAATATTTGGTGGTTTTATTTTAATAAATTAAAAAGTGCAAGGACTAATTTTTGAAATTTTGTTTAGGACATGATATCAAATATGGAGCAGTGTAAGGGCATTATGGTCTTTTAGCATGTTATGAATTTAAAAATTCATCTTAAAAGATATTTAAGCATTTGAAGAAAAATAAAGGGGAAAGAATTGTCTGGAAGCTTGGCTCACTTTTCTTATTTGTCCCTTCCCGTGACTCCATTGATAAGGTTAGTTTTTCTCAAGCTGGTTATTATTTTCAGGTGTGGATTGCTTTTGAAGCATTGAGTAGTATATAAGCTTGTGGAAACTTTAATATGCATAGAAACTAAGAGATTGGTGAATTATTGATGAATTAGTAAAATGTGTCTTAAGAGATTTGTTGATATGGTTTAGTATTTGGATTTCTAATGATAAATTTACTTTTCAAGGGTTTAATTAAGAAGTTAAAAGTATTAGAAATGATTAAGAACATGTTTGAATATTTGGTATGATTTTTAGTTCTAAGTGCTCTAAGTAGAAATTTAGGTGTTATAAGGGGAATTATGGAGGTAAGTTAGTTAGGGTAAGTGATAATAAGTTTGAGGGTATGAATGGGTCTAAAAGCTTAAAATTTAGGTAAAGAGTGGGAAAAATTTGAAGTGAAATGAGGTAAAATCTAGGTTTGGGTATCGGTACTGAAAGAACAGTACCAATACTATAGGATTAAATTGAAAGAAATAGTTTGAATTGGAAGAACAGTATCGATACTAATTGAAGTAGTATAGATACTGAAGTGGGTATCGATACTGTAAGTAGAGTTGAAATTCCTGAATACAAAATGGTATCGATACCGAAGTGGGTATCGGTACCCAGAAGAGAAGTATTGATACTATTGGAGGGGTACCGATACTATTCAGTCTGAAATACTGAATTAGGTGTTTCATTTCGTTTTTGGAAGTGCAAATTGGTTATTCGTTAATGGAAAGTTAGTATTGATCTTAGAAATATTGTTGTGTAGATTAGGAATGACATCGTACTGATCGAAGCGATATAGTAAAGAGACGGAACGAAAGTTAAAAAAGATTTCATTTAGGAATTACATGAGGCAAATGCGAGTGTAACTAATTTTTTATATTAGATTTGAGGGAGGCTTGCGATAAACCAACCTTAGAGTTTTCAATTGAAAAACATTTTATTTCTTTTACGCAATATTTTTATAATACTTTATTCAAGTTATATTTCTAAAGATATGTTTTGATTCTTATATACACATGAATATCAACATGCGATATGGGAATATGATTATACAAAAATGGTCTATGTGAAAGTACCCTATGAGAATGTACTTTATGAGAATAAGACATACTTTGAATAATGAAATTATAAATAATTATGTGGTTAAAGCCCAAGGTATATGTATGAGAATTAGAGGTATAATTGGCATGCCATGAGTCGGGTCCTATGTAATTCTTCGGGTTAAAACTATATGGTCCTTCGAGACAAAACTATGTGGTCCTTCGTGACAAGCCTATGTGGTCCTTCGTGACAAGCATATGTGGTCCTTCGGGATAAACCTATGCGGTCCTTCGAGACAAAACTATATGGTCATTTGGGACAAATATGTGGCACTTTGGTACAAATTATGTGAGCAGTGGTTACTATATTTATGCACAACCTCAATGCACTCAAATACCTTGAGTTCTCAGTAGTATACATTGGGATATTAAAAAAAAAGTGATATATACCAAGCAATGTGTAAAAGTATACGTTCTTATCAGGAAATGTAAATCGAATTCCTTATGAAACGTTTTCTATGAGATGAACATGAAAATATTTTACAATGTTTTATTATACTTGTAATTGCCTTACTAAGTCAATGACTTAGCGTGTGATCTTTTCAGACGTAAGTTCGAAGAGATCAGAAGGGTAAGGCTAGAAAGGGATAGCATACAAGGAAGGAAGATCATATCATAACAATTACAGCTGTAGGTTTCTTCTATTATGTAAATTGTTGGAATGTATTAAAATGTTTTAAACTGAAATGCTCTGATCCAATTTGTAATCATACTATTTTATAGTTATGTAAATTATTAAGTGCTTACTTTCAATGTGAGTTTGAATTTCAATAGCAATTTGATTTAAGGGTTTCACCACTTGAAATAAAATAAAAAAGTTAAAATTTTCAATAAGTTTTCAACAAGTCAAAGTTTTGAAAAGTCAATGTGACACCTCATATTCGTATCCGGGTCGGGTACGGGTTGGGGGTGTTATATAACAGCATAACTAAAACTTTTTCTTCTTATGCAAACACACATCTTATAATTATAATACACCTTGCTATGACTAACATAATGTTTTCCAAATTCTAATCATACTAACCTTGGAATTTATGTCAATAATCATTGTAAGCTCTTAACATTTTCTTGACACTTACCAATCTAATTAAATAATATGTATATCCTCAATAACTTAGTCAGAGAAAATACAATCATTCACTATATTCTTATCAATACTAGTAATTTCATTCAACTATATCTCAAATTTCCTTAATATACATATCCTTATCCTCTTACTTGAGTCTACATGGATAAGGAATATAACCATAGAAAATACACACTTATGTTTTGTCAACTTATCATACAAATTTTCTCCTGATCCTTTAAACTCAATCACACATGTCTTAACATAACTTTAAAAATCTGAATAACCTGATCGGACCAACCATATATCTGTGGATGGAATTTAATGCTAAAGTTAAATCGAGTTTTGAAGGCCTTGCTCAAATAATTCCAAAACCATGAAGTAAACCTTATGTCTCATCAGATAAATTAAAACTGACACTCCATATACTCTAATATCTTCTTAATGTATAGTTATGCATGCTTATCCTTTGAAAAATCCTTTTGAATAGGAATGAAATACGTGGGCTTTGCTAAATGATCCACCAATACTCCAAATTGAGTCCTTTTTATTCCATGTCAATGGCAACCCAATTACGAAATCCATGGTAACCTTTTTCTCATTTCTACTGAGAACTGAAAAATTGTTTTCTTTCATTCCAAATTTATGTAATACCTTATTTTCAACATTTCAAACTTATAAGCTAAACCTCTTTAAAAATCCTTGTCATACTTAGTGCTCCAAACCGTTCACTTTAATTTCTCATATCTTTATTACCTTAATATATCCTATGCTCCTTACTTTCCTTTATATCATGTTCTATCCTGAACATGTACTTATATATATTCATCCTTTATTTTTAACAAAATAAATTGGAACATTATCTTAGCATTCCTTGCGTTATCTTCTT